GGCAGTTAAATAATTTTATGTGGCATTATTTTTTAATTTTTTTGATGATGTGGCACTAATATATATTATATTTATATTATATAAATAAATAAAAGTCCCACATAAATTAATATATATATTTTTTAATTAAAAATATATAAAATTACTTTACTACCCTCATCCTCACACTCACCCTCCCAATCCCTCTTCTTCCCCTTCTTTTTTTCTCTTTCCTTCTTTTGGGTTCGATGGAAACCCAGCCTTGCTGGGTTCGTCGACCAGCCAAGGCTGGGTTCGGTTGAAACCCAGCCTTGCTGGGTTCGCGACTAGCCAAGGCTGGGTTCGCCTTGGTTGGGTTCGCCGGAACCCAGCCAAGGCTAGGTTCGTCTGAACCGAGCAGATCTGGGTTTCGACGAACCCAGCCTTGCTGGGTTCGGTTGAAACCTAGCCTTCAACCGAACCCAGCTTTGCTGGGAAAGCTTAGTTCTTGGTTTTTCGTTCTTCTTTCTATTTCCATTTCCAGTTATTAATATATTTGGAGATTGATTTATAATTTGATTGCATTTTTATTAGAATTTGATTAAAGTTTGATTGAAGTTTGATTGTATTTTTGTTGATATTCGATTAGAGTTTGATTGGTATTGTTTATTGAAGGGTATTTTGATTTGGTAAGATCTGCCAGGTTTGAGGTTTCAATGAAACCAGTAGCTCAAGTTTCCCTGAGAAACGAGAAGAAGAGGAAATGGGTGGGTTAAGGTCGGTTTTGTAGATGGAGTGGAGATGAGAAGCATTCACGGAAGAAAAAGAAATAGATTAAGATCAATTTTGCAGATGGAGTGGATATGAGAGAGCATTCAGAGAATAAAAAGAAATGGGTTAAGATCGATTTTGCAGATGGTGAAGATGAAAGACCAGTTTGCAGGTAACTGGAATCCATTTGAGGGGTTTTGTGTGAAGAAGATGAAGATGACATGTCATAAAAAAAAAGGTCCAGTTAAGCATCTTTTTTAAGTTGTGCCCGTCATGTCATCAAAAAAAATATAAAAAATGCCATGTGGCCAAGTTAACGGCCCAAATTGACAAAAGGATTAACGGAGTGCATTTTGTATAGTTGAGGGATCAAAAAAGTGCAAAAAATTGTTAAGGGACCAAAAATGTGCAACTCACTAAAGTTGAGGGACCAAATTTAGCATTTAACCATAAAAAAAAAAAAAAAAGAAAACCTCTAATCATCTTCTTCCTTTCTTTCTTTCTCTTTCTTCCTCCTACTCACTACTAGGTTCAATATCGAACCCAATAGAGCTAGGATCCACCGAACCCAACTACTTGGTTCGATGGAACACGGATATGCTCTGGGGTTCGTTGGAACCCAATGGCTAGTTTCCACTAAACCCAGCAAATCTAAGTTCAATGGAACCGAGCAACTGTGTTCCATCGAACCCAACTCTACTGATATGAAGACTTTGTGGAGGAAGACTGGCAATGAACAAGCAACTAGATCTTGGTTTGTTCGAACCTTAGATTGTTGGGTTTCAAGAGAGCTAAATCTTGGTTCGTTCAAACCCCAAATTACTAGGTTTTGAAACCCAAATCTCTGGGTTCTTCTCTTTTATATATATATATTTGTTGCGAATGAGAAATTGAGTTTATGCAAATTACAGGTTGTGATGGATTTTTAGGATCCTTTTGCTTCATATTTTCTAACTATTATCTAAATGATTTTAATGTTCGAAATGGAAAGAACATTGCCGACGATGGAAAGAATAGCAGCAACGACAAATGGGCAAAGAAGCAATTTTCAGTGGGTTTCATTTGCTGGGCTAGAAAATTGTACAGTTTGGATGTTTGGATGTTGAGAAAATGGTTTCAATCAGTGTTTTGGAATAAGTATTGTATTACTAGGTGTAATATCCCAAAATTTTGTAATATTTTAGCATTTAAGTAAGGGTTTTTGTGAGAGAAAATATTGTTTTGGGGCTTAATAATCGAAATTTTAAAGTTCAGGGACTTAAAAGAGAAAAAGATTTGGATAAGGATCGGCTGGCATTTTTTTTCTTCTTTCTTCTTCCTCACCCACGCACCTGCTTTTCTTTTCCCTTCCCTGCACCGAACAAAAAGAACCCAGCCAAGCCGACAGCCCCACTTGGAAAATTGGTAAGGAAGCTTGATTTTTCCCTTCCTTTCTTGTTCTAGAACACATATAGAACCCATAAATCTTCCCCCCTTTGCAGGAAATCCCGGATCTGCTCTGCTCCTTCCTCCCCTGTCCGCGAGCTGTAGCTTGTGGGTGTGATTTGTGGGCATTTTTCCGGTAAGCCATAGCCATGAACTTCATCTTTTAGCTTGATTTAGCTTGGGTTTACCTTAATTTCTCTTGCTTTCTCCAATTTTTGGGTAGATTTCCTGAATTTCCCCCTACACTTGCCGCCGGCCTTCCCCCAAACTGCAGTCCGATTTTTGCTGGGAAAATTCTGGTATGTTGACAGCTCCTCCAAGCTTGAAATTTCATCAATTAGTTGCTTAATTTTGTCCATTTATTTGCTGCCATGTGCTGTCCGAAATTTGCTGAAAAATGGGGATGAATTTCGGTAGCAATTAGAGCATTTTAAATGTGTTTTGTTGCTTAATTCATGTATAAATTGCTTGAGTTGGCTGCTATGATTTTTGGAGAGAAAACCCCGTGAGATTAGCCGTTGTTTTGCCAATTTATGGAAGTGCAGTTACTGTTCACGACGTGATCACTTTTCACGAGCACTGTTCACACACTAATGGCCAACAATTAACGGGGATTAAATATTTAGTTTGTAATATAAGAACAAATTTGGAGATATCTGGTCATGTGGAGATTGATAGAAATAACATTGTGATTAAGGGTAGTCCTAATGATGATTTCAGTTTGAATTTGTGGTAGTGCGATATTAATTTTGAAATATTTTGATTAGGTTCTTGAGTGTTCTATCACTCGAGTACTTAGCTTGAGTTTCGGATTGAGGTAAGTAAATTTATAGTAATGCTTATATAATTTTTAAAAGCATGTTTTGACTTGTTTTTGAAGTGGTGGCGGGACTAAACCCGTTTTATATAAAAGTAAGTATGATTGATTTGAAGTGAAATTTTTATGTTTTTCACGAAATTGAGCATGCCTACTTGAAATTTAATTGATTGTTCTAATGATCTGAAAGTGATTGGTGAATTATGATTTTTCTGTTAACTTCTGCTTGTTTTGTCTCCGATATGGTCATGTTATTCGTGTGCCCACTAGTGGGAGGTTTATAAACGCTAGCACATGTCGACATGTTACTAATAGAACCGGTTCGTTTCTGTTATCCTGCTAGTG